CACCAAGGATCCAGCTGAAGCCCCGTTCACACTACAAGCGACACGTAACGTCAAAGCAACACGATCCCATTCATTCCAATGGAGAGCTGGTGATTTCCGGCGACAAGAGTGACAGAGGCCGTTGGTGACTGGATGGGGCATGTCCAGCGATGCGACAAAGTTCAGAATCCTTCAACTTTATGCAAATGAAGAGCGACTTTCGGGAGCAACAGCCAGTAGGAAAGAAGATGGTAGAGCTCATGTGATCGTTCTCCTCTCAGCCGTAGATAAACATATGCAATGGGAAAAAGTAGGCTCTGCTTCTCATTCATTTTTGTTTGTATGTACAGATTTAATTTGTATTTGTTATATTTAGTCTTTTGCCTCCAAAATGTTTGTAATTAGCGGCAAGAAACCTGATTCGCTGTGAAGGCAACCAGTAGTGAGAACGCCCAAGCAACCTCATCGCCAGCCCGTGAACGCAGCTTGATTACTGGCCACTTGGAGGAGGATTGTCCTTTATCTGCTACACTGCACTGTCACTTCTGGTATGGATTCACTGACCTTTTGTGATATGTGAGATGTTTTGATTTTACTAAATGTAATAATTTTACTTAATTTGATTTTACATAATTTACTTAAAGGGACAGTTCACCCCAAAATTAAAGTTCTACCATCATTTACCCTTCATCACCCTTATGTTTTTCCAAACCTGTATTAATTTCTTTCTTCTGTTGAAGACAAAAAGATATTTTGAAGAATGGTGATAACCAAACAGTTCATAGTAGCCATTGACTTCCATACAGTAGTAGGAAAAAAATGACTGTGGAAATCAATGGGGCCCGTCAACTGATTTGGTGAGTACATGATGACATAATTTTTATTTTTGAGTGAACTATCCTTTTAATACAATGTATAATTATGATTCTGAATTAAGTGTAATGTTTCTCTAAAAATATTATCAGAAATATATGGAGACGCATATATTATCAGAAATTAGAGTTGCACGATTAATCGTTAAAAGATCATAATCTAGGTCCAAACCCCATTTACACTAATTTCTAAATGACAACGATTGTTGTTGTCGCATACTAACACCGTGTCTA